CGGGGCGCAGCAGGAAGAGCCCCTTCCAGGATGTACATCTTCTTCTCGTTCCTGAAAACAATTCTCAAGGTCCGATACCAGTCCAAGAAGTTCGTCCCGGTCAGCTTATCCTTCTCAAGGGTAGATCACAATGACATAGTTGGTACACTACCACCTGTCGCCATGTCCTACGGAGATAAACAAAACAACACAATATGCAATATCAATTAGTACAATACTAATTATAGAACAATTACTATCACGGATGACATGATGCAAATATGAGATAAACTCCCACTAAGAAAAATAACCCTCTAGTAATTTTCTTAGCAGGCTAAGATCCATATTTCACATAGACTTGAGTCAGCTTTGGCATTACGCTCAAGGCTATGCTATTTGGGTAGACATCCAATGTCAATCACATTCAATGTGACTCTTAGATCGTTTATGGGAAAATAGTATCATTATACTACCGCATATTTCTAGTCCTATCTATACCGTTAGGTCCAAGTCCAACTTGATAATCCAACTCAAGCCAAACCATTTTCGAACATATGAGAATCGCCATTTCTCCATCTTGTCTCACAAAGATTGTCTGGTATGCTCAGCTCTGGCATGACCCATACACAGACGATCGAAGCCTTGACGAGTGCTCGAAACATGGGCAGTATAAGCTTGAAATTATAATGAGGGATTTTATCGTTATCAAGAAGCAGTTTATTACTTTCGAGAAATGAAAAGCACAATTTCTCAATCCTTGTCTCACTTAAATAATCCGGTATGCACAGCTTTGGCATGTCCCATACACGAATTACCAAGGTCTTGGCAAGAACTCTACTTGTAATAGCTCTATTCTCGATTGATCACGACTCTGTTACTTAGCCCGAATAGACCGTCTATTCAGCTTAGTAAACTAAGTCCCGAAACTCCCACTCAATCAAGTAACTCCTATACTTGATTAAGTTTTATGCACTTAATTCATGTAGACCCTCTACATAATTAAGTCATAAACCAAAAACAATCATGATTAACTCAGTCAAGTAACCATTACTTAACCGAATCGAATTCAGAAAACACGGAAATCCAAAAACAGTTGGTTGGTCCGAGACTGACCAAATTTTGGTTCGCCGGACCAAACCCAACTCAGTCTTCGGAGTCAGCTCGGACCAGAGAAGAATCGGCGGAGTAACTTGGGTTGGTCCGGGGCTGACCAACACTTGGTCCGCCAAACCAACACCAAGACTCAGCTTCTTCTCGCGCACGGACCAGGCTCGGTCTGCTCGGACTCAAGTGTTGGTCCGGGGCTGACCAACATTTGGTCAGCCGGATCAAACACTTCAGTCCGCAGCTTCCTCTCTCGGACCAGCTCTTGGTCCGCCTGATCTGACTTCGTGTAGTCCGGGGCTGACCAACACTTGGTCAGCCGGACCAGACAAGTCAGAGGAGCACACGGACCAGAAAACGCTTTGTCGGACCAAACGCACGTCTGGTCCGCCGGACCAAGACTGTTTGGTTCGACTTTTCCCTCTTTCGGTCCGGCGAACTGATCTGTCTGAGTCCGAACTTGCGGTTCGGGGCTGACCAACTTTTGGTCCGCCGGACCGCATGATTCTGGGCAAAAATCAGACGAAAATTTTCGTCTTGATCTGATTTTTCGCTCATTTCGAATCCGTTTTTCGTTCCGTTTTCTCGAGTTAATTCATGATTCAA